CCCTTAGCTCGCGCGACGGGACAACAGACCTGATCTTGAAACGGGTCGCACACGTTCCTCGATTAGACTACAACCTATAGTCTCTCTGACGTCCCTCTTCGACGACGGGTTCAAAACCAAAACCCTAGACAAACACGAGTTGGAGTTGGAGAAAGAGGAGGGGAAGTCGGTGTACTTCCCCCGATGCGGTAATCTGTACATCCAAAACGGTTTCCGCACACACACCGAACGTGCCTGTGCCGCAATTGCTCCTGGCAACGCGAACGCGTCCAGCACCCCGGTTGACATCAACAATTTCACTGCGCGCACGGCCACTCCCACGAGGTGCTGCTGAGGACCACGGCGAAGCAGCAGGGGACGACGCTGGTGGGCGAGCTCCGGGAGTGCCTGGGGTGCTCGACGGCGAAGGGGCTTTCCAAGCCCATCCCCAACAAGACGTCGACCCGAGCATCGCTGCCTCCCATCGCAGAGGAGGAAGAGGATTTCGCGACTGAGGAGGACGAGGATGGGGAGGGCGCGTCGAGCCAAGGTGGAGCGAGGACAAAGGGAGAACCTGTGGATGGAGGACCAGATTTCAACCTTGGCACGACGGCAGCCCCGGGGCCCACGGGGCCGCCCGCGCGCGTAGCGNTCGCTGCCTCCCATCGCAGAGGAGGAAGAGGAATTCGCGACTGGGGAGGACGAGTTTGGGGAGGGCGCGTCAAGCCAAGGTGGAGGGAGGGCGGAGGGAGAACCTATGGATCAATGACCAGGTTTCAACCTTGGCACGACGGCAGCCCCGGGGCCCACGGGGCCGCCCGCGCGCGTAGCGCCGCCGGCGCCGCCGGTTGCGCCCCAGGAGTCGGGCGCGGGCGACGCTGGCAATGGCGCCCTCTCGAGCAGAGAGGGCGCGAGCGTCGCCCCATCTACCACGTCGACCGGCACGGCCGATGTGGGCGGCGGCGAGGACGACCGCCGCAGCCGCAGCAGCCGCTGTAGCGGCGGCAGCGACAGCGACAGGAGCAGCTGCGGCAGCAGCGGTACGGCGGCAGCGACAGCAGCAGCGGCAGCGACAGCGAGACGGACCTCCCGGCGCTCGGTGGGTCTGACGCCCGGGNCGGCCGATGTGGGCGGCGGCGAGGACGACCGCCGCAGCCGCAGCAGCCGCTGTAGCGGCGGCAGCGACAGCGACAGGAGCAGCTGCGGCAGCAGCGGTACGGCGGCAGCGACAGCAGCAGCGGCAGCGACAGCGAGACGGACCTCCCGGCGCTCGGTGGGTCTGACGCCCGGGGGCTCGCCCGCTTCGACAAGCCGGCGGAACTAACCAGCCGCCGCACCAGGGAGAACCCTCGCCGAAACCCGAGGTACGAGTCGCCCCCGTCGCCGACAAGTGCCGAAGCCCTGCTCGCCTCGGCAGCGAGCCTGCCCCTCAGCAGCACGGAGGAGTTCATCAGCTGGATGATCTCGGCGGTACTTCACGTGGCGGAAGGGCTAGAGGGAAGGGCGGTGCGAGAGTTGCTGTTCGAGCGCGCGGCGGAGGCCCACGCTACGCGCTTATGCTCAACTCGCCAGACGCCTTCGAGACGGCTC